CGGTTTAGGTAATGTATGAAGAAGCGAGTCAAGTGGCGAATGATGCAGTGAGTAGCATAAGAACGGTTGCATCTTTCTGCGCAGAGGACAAAGTGATGGATTTGTACCAACTGAAATGCGACGGACCGAAGAACAACGGTATCCGGACAGGTCTTGTGAGCGGTGCGGGTTTCGGTACCTCTTTCTTTGCTCTCTATTGCGTCAATGCTGCATGTTTCACCAGTGGTGCGTGGTTAGTTCAAATAGGCAAAGCCACATTTGGTGAAGTGTTCAAGGTAAGAGGAAACCATTGTTTTTCCCGGTTTGGTTTCGTGACATTAAGAAAGTTGATTTATACAGGTTTTCTTTGCATTGACCATCACTGCGATTGGAGTTTCTCAAACGAGTGCTATGGCACCTGATACAAACAAAGCCAAGGACTCTGCAACTTCGATTTTCGATATCCTCGATAGCAAACCGAAGATCGATTCAAGCTCTGATGAAGGTACAACGTTACAAAACGTTCATGGCGATATCGAATTTCGACATGTTAGTTTCCGGTACCCGATGCGACCGGACGTTCAGATTTTTAGAGATTTGTGCGTGACTATCCCTTCCGGAAAGGTAAAAGAAACAGAGGACTCTGTTTTTTTTTGTTTTGTTTACCGGTTTAATCAGATTCTCCGGTTAAAGATTGATTTTCGGCTATTTTTTTCAGACCGTTGCGCTTGTTGGAGAGAGTGGGAGCGGGAAATCGACGGTGATAAGCATGATTGAGAGGTTTTATAATCCAGATTCAGGCAAGATTTTGATCGATGAGGTTGAAATTCAGACATTCAAATTGAGTTGGTTAAGGCAACAGATGGGTTTGGTTAGTCAAGAACCGGTTTTGTTCAACGAGACTATCAGATCAAACATAGCTTATGGTAAAACCGGTGGAGTAACAGAGGAAGAGATAATCGCAGCCTCACTAGCCGCAAACGCACATAACTTCATCAGTTCGTTGCCTCAAGGTTACGAAACGTCGGTTGGAGAACGCGGTGTTCAGCTATCGGGCGGTCAGAAACAGAGGATAGCGATTGCTCGCGCGATTTTGAAAGATCCGAAGATTTTGTTGCTCGATGAAGCGACTAGCGCGTTGGACGCAGAATCTGAGCGTGTGGTTCAAGATGCGCTTGATCGGGTTATGGTGAATCGAACGACCGTAGTTGTGGCTCATCGCCTCACGACGATTAAGAACGCAGACGTGATCGCGGTTGTGAAAAACGGCGTTATTGCTGAGAAAGGAAGGCATGAGACTCTGATGAAGATTTCAGGTGGTGCTTATGCTTCTCTTGTTGCTCTGCACATGAGTGCCAATTAGGAGCGTTTTCAGTTTTGTGGCTTAACGGTTTTAACTGAAATTTTGGACTTGATTCGTTATTTATTTTCTTCTGGGGAAACTCATAAATTTGAGATCAATAGATCATAAACTCGTAATTTTTGGAGATAATTCTTCAATAAGCACCAGTAGAAGAAGATCTTTTGGAGGTAAAAGCTATTTTGGATAAACAAATATGAACAAAAGTAATAATTTCTTGGGGAAATGATAGAACAGAAACAGAGTATTTCAGACACAAATTTAAGAAAAAAATGAAATCTTTTACGAAGATACTCAGTAAACTTCAGAAGCAAAGTTGTTTGTTGGAAGTCTCTGTCGCTTTTCGATGTAAGCCATAGGAAACCAGCCAGCTTTGCCTTTGCATTCTCCTTCCGCCCAACCGGTTTGGCTCACCTGAGAAAAACACAAAAAAGAATTAGAACCAAGACTTAAGTTTCATGATCTAACCACAAAGAATTGTTCTTTGATCTTGGTAATACTAATCCAAACCTTTCGGACAACGATGTAATCTCCTTTGTCCAAGTCTAATTCTTTCTCCGAAGCAGCGGAAAACGGATGAATCACCTGTCGAGAGAACAGATATGTTGCTTATGAAGAGTCTTTTTCTTTATATGATTATCTTTCAAATGATAAAACTTACTTCAGCTAGAAAGTATGATGTTTTCTCTGAGCCATTCTCTGTAGGAATCGCAGGAGGAGCAGATTCTTTGTGTTGTTTCTCGGTTACCATCTAAGAAACGCGGTAAGGCTAAATAGTGTGAGTTTTCTTTTTAATGAGAATCAGATATGAAAACTATTAGTCCATTACTAACCTCGGCTTCAATGTCACTGAGGATGGCTGCTATTCTTAGATGATAATTCTTCTCCCCTTCGACCTTAAGTAGAATAAGCGATATGGTAAAAAACAGTAATCAACGTAGGACACGAAAAACCAATGTGTATGTATATAAAGCATACCATAGCCACAAGCCTCTGGAAAGTAAGTCTATGTTGCTGAGATTCAACAGCAGCCAATGCAGCAGTTGCTTCTTTACCGAGAACAGCCATGTTCGCTTTTAGCTCTTGCATCTTTGCTTCTGCTAATTGAAGCTTTGCCACGTTTTCTGGAATCGGTGCTTCTCTTACACGTGCTTGCCGTCTAGAGACTTCCGTTGCCTGTTTTGCTTTTTGAATTTTAAAGTCACATTACATTATAGCAAACATCATAATAGAACTGAGATTTTAAGAATATTACATATGTCTCTGCTTCTTGTCTCATGCGGCTATAACGTTGAGCTAGATGACGAGCATCTTCAAGGGGAGAACCGGCAACCATAGCTCTAAGAGGATCCAGCACCTTAATGCATTCGAAAATTTGTTATCTTCTAGATTCAGTTCTTTGAACAGTATACTAAGATTAAAACAGATAATTTGAAGCCAAACCTGAGAAGCCAAAAGCTTGTTAAAGTCTTCTTGTTCTTTCTCTACATGTTTTCGAGCATCACCATATATAGCCGCAGCCTTGGCCAGAATATTCTCGTCGATGTTCTGACTGTTTTCGGTTCCATATCTGCAGCAGTCCTCAGACAACTTGGTACCTGACAATATTAACGATTATATAACCCCCGCACAAAAATGTATCGTAGTGGAATTTCTCCAACGGTAGATCAGAGATAAGCAACACAAAAGAGACACTCATAAGTACCTGCTTCCATGTGCCTGAGCCCGATCGAAGTAAACGCCTCAGCTGCTTTAACAATCTCTCTCTGGAACTCCTGAAAGTGACAATAACATATATGTTTGAGGCTATTAGATCAGTCTCAAGACCACAATGACATTAACAATAAGCCAATTTTCAGTCTAACCTTTGCGGAACGAGTAGACCGGTAAAGTTTCTCGAGATATTGATGCCTTTGCATTTCAAGCTCATCAATCACCATTACATCTGAGCTCTCATAGCCAGTCCCACTAAATTGCTTGATCACAGCCTACAAATTCCCCAATCACCACACACCAACACAAATTCATCACCAAGATTCTGTAAACAAACAACTCTACAACACTAACATATAAAAACCAAAATGCTTTAATCCTCGAGAACAAAGAGCATGAAATTTGTAATACAGCTTTGCAGGATCAAACCCATCAAAAAGTTTCCAGATTTAAGAGTCAAAATTGGAGATTTTTTCTCTTAAACCTTTCAGATACATAGTTGAATAAGGATATTACCAGTTGTTGCTTTGCGACTTGATCTCTGAGCTTACTCGCTTGTCTTCTAAACGCATCCATTTTCGTCACTTCTCCTCTTGAATTGACCCAGAAGAGAATAACAAAAGAGGCAAGCTTTAGGGTTCTTAAGAGGAATTGGGAAATCTCACTTCGATCAGACAAGCATCGAAACTGACAAAACAGATCAGATCTGATTCAGAGATTGTGCTAATGTGTGTTCTCTTCTTCGACTCGATGTCACTGATCCTCGGAGAAAATCTCACAGAGCACACGCATCAAGCCGGGTCGGGTCGGATAAAAGGTAGCGAGAAATGCTTAAATTGAATTTAACATCTGAGATTGAACCGAACCGGACCGGTTCGGTCTGGTTAAATCGAGCGTTTCACGATTGAATATTTGGAAGCTGTGAGTTACATGCCAAACGAGGCCTTACGAAAGGACATTTACGTAAGAGTATTATTGAATATAATTAATTATCGTAATCTGCTTTTTATAATAATTAAATTTGTATTAATAATATTAACGAAGTATCTGACATGGCCACCTCACAACCACTTGTCTTATGTCCCCACTCCACGTAGCATTTTGTCC